TCAGGAAGCCAGCTGTGACGGTTGCAGCAAAAAGCTGGGTTTCTGGCCTTTCACAGCTACCTGGAGCAGACAGCAGGTGGCGCTGTGCTGCCTGCACTCACCTGAGACCTAAGAGGCCCTGCTAGAACTGCAGCTCCTCTCTGCCCTCTCCTACTTCAAATACCTGCACGCAGCACGCAGCACGCAGCAGGTAGTCAATCAACAGTCCCCGGCGTGAGCTAATGAACCAAGCTGACCAGGCCTTTCCACCTTACCTGCAATGCGGATGACAGCCCGCTCCGCAGGGTCCAAGACACTCCCATTGCCTCCAGAGCCACCTCCACTACGCCGGCTCCGCTGAGTTTTCCCAAGGTTCCAAGGCAGTGTGTCCCCAGGGCTGGGGGAGCCACTGCCCCCATTGGAGCCACTTTCAGCCACTGCTCGAACTTCAGAGTCCTCACCCGACATTGCCTTCTGGAGGGAGAGAAGAAGGGTCATACTTGTGCCAGTGAGAAACAGGTACTACACACTGACCCCCTTAGCCTAAACACTGACCCCATTAACCTGGACACTGACCCCCTGCCCCTCCTAGATGTTGACAATTTCTCCCCTCCTCCACATCCAGCCTTCTCAGATACCTGCACAGTGACACTCCTCAAACATTGACCTAAACCCCCCAGGGTATCACCACAATACTGACCACTTCTGCCACTCCACACATTGACTGTCACTCCCTTCACTCAACCACTAACCACCCCTATCACAAGACACTAGTTCCATCCTCCCTGTCAAGTGGTCAAGTGGGAGGGAGGGGACAATTACTTTCACTTGGACACTGACACCAACCCAAACATCTCCCTCTCTCCCAAGCACTCAGACACTGGCTTCCACACTCTGCGTCCCAACGCTGGATTCCCCCTCACCTAATCTTCCAGTCATTCATAAGCAGTGGTATCGCCCCCTACTATCCTGTCCTCAGGAAGGAATCCCACCCCCTAGCCTCAGGAAGGAATCCAACCCCCTGGACGCTGGCACTCTCCCTCCAAGCAATCTCAGTCTGTAGGACTCCCCACCACCCCACCCCACCTCCAGTCCTACACAGTCCCACCTCGATCTCTGCAGAGAAGACCTATAAATAGCTGAAGCCGCAGCGGCGTGGGCCGCAGGAGTGAGGCTGCGGCAAAGCTGAGAGAGAAACCAAGCCGCTGTTCCGGCAGCCCACCCTGCTCCCTGCAGGCGCAGTCAAGGAGCACGCGTCCACAAGCCCTAAGGGCGCTGGCGTGCAAGAGGTGAATGGGGCTCTGTTTCAGCGAGGGTGGGGTGTTGTGGGGCACAATGTGGGCTCTGTGCCTCCTCCCTCAAGCCAAGGGCTGAGGAGGAGAGAGGAGACACGAGCTGAAAGCCCCGCTCCTAAAGGTCCCCTGGCTTCCTTGGGGCGCCTCTGTTCCAGTCCCAAGCCTGGCGCAGCAGCCTTCCCTACCCACACACGCCTGACACTGCCTGTCCGGTTCCGCAATCTCCAGTGCGTTGGAAGGTGCTGTCCTCCGAGAGACCGCAGGATGGCCTGCGACACAGCTCCTAGTTCCGGGTGGGTGACCTGCGACCAAGATCCCACTCCCATCCCGCAGCTCCCGCATCCCGTGCAACGCTCCCTCCCAGCCGGGTCCTACGTGCCTGGCGGCTCCGCTCGCCTCTGCTCTGCCGCTGTAGCCGGACTGCGGGAGCCCGGGAAGCCGCGGAGGCAGCGCGGGCGGGGCGAGCCCGGAGCCCCGCCCCAGTTCGGCCGGGCCCCGACGGAAAGCCGCGCCGTGAAGCACCACCAGGATCCTGCAAGCAAGCAATGCCCGCGTGTCGCGGGGCCGGGAGTCCCTGAGGCCACGGAGCGGCAGTCCACGGCGCAGCTCCGCCGGGGAGCGCCCGCTCTGTGCGAGCACCTCTGTCCGGCGCAGCCTTCTCCCTGTGCGTGCAGGGCGGGCCGGTAGGCAAGGAAACGCCGCTGGGCGAACGTGCGTGCCACCAAGACAGCGTGGGGTCGCCCCGGTGCGTTGAGCCCCGCCCCGCACCCGCAGCCTTGGTCAGCTGTGTGACGCCGCCCCAGCCCCAAGAACAGTTAACCCCGACCCTGCCCGGGACGAAGACCCCATGCCCCAAACGAGGTCGAATTCCGAGTTTGCAGGGCCCTTCCGCCCGGTCTCATGCAGGTTTTATTCAAAGACAGAACTGCGCTCGGCGAGGTTGGGACAAGACGGGCGTGCCCAGCCGGTGCCCCTTCCCGCTGGGCTCTGCTGACCCCTGGTGGTAGGCCCGGCTCAGAAAGGCGCCCGCCCAGTACTCTGGGTCCTCTTGGCCCCGCGAGCTACCGCCAAGAGGGCTGTGCAGAACTGTAATTAGAGGCACAGGCCAGCCCCGAATCAGGTGGCCCGAGAGGGCCCGAAAAGCCCAAGAGGAGTCTCTGGGGAAATGTGGGGCAGGCGCTTGCAGATGATGAGGTGGGTGGGCAGCGCCTGGGTGTCGTGGAAAATGACAAAGATGCTGGGATTGTTGAGGCAGTCCACAGCGCTGTCGTAGCGCAGGAGGGTGTGGCCGGAGGCCCGCAGAGGGGGAGCCCGCAGATTCGGGCGGCCTTGCCCGTAGTCGCCTGTCAGCACCCGTGCCACGAATACCGCCTTGTGGCCATCGTCACTGGGGGGCGAGTATCGGTCCTTCACCGACAGGGAGGCGCGCTTGGCGAAGTACACGCCCTGCCCGTAGAGCGTGCCTGCGGGGTGGGACGGGCAAACACGTCAGAATATTCGGAACGACTGGGCCCCCATCCCTGGCCGGCGCAGGCCTCACCGTTGCGGCCACAGAAGCTGCGATTGAAACCGTGTGCACAGATCTCAGGCACTGCGGACGCCGACGTGCCGTGGTACAAGACCTGCTCTGCAGGGCGCTGCGTGCAGCTCTGCACCAGACGATCCCGGTACAGCTGGTACTGCTGCTCCAGCAGCGGGTGCGACACGCGCTGCACCTGCAAGGTGAGTGGCAGTCAGGGCCACACTATTGGAAGTTCCTCGTTACACCGTCGACTGACATAAGACAGAGCTGAGCTCAGACATCAGGAGTCTTCTGGTGGAAGAATTTAGGATCTCACAGCTTTTTTTTTTTTTTTTTCCTTTTTTTGGTGCCAATTTAAAAAAATTCTAATTAGTTTCTTCAGAAAATGCAAAAGGTACCACATCCATAAAACAAGACTGTTGGAAAGAGTCTAAAAATTAAAAAAGAAATCTCACATTAAGAGTGGGATTGTTGGGCTGGTGAGATGGCTCAAGGCTGGTGAGATGGCTCAGTGGTCTAAAGCGCCAACTTAGAACAAGCTTAGCAAAGCACAGGGACCACGGTTCAATCCCCCAGCACCACATGCCAGCCAGCCCCGCCCCCTGGTGGGCTGAGCTGGCCACACACACACACACACACACACACACACACACACAAATAATTTTTTTAAAAAAAGAGTGGGATTGTTGCTGAGTGTGGTGATGTACACCTATGAATGTACACCTATGATCCCAGCACTTGGGAGACTGAGGCAGAAGATCGCTAAGAGTTCAAAACAAGCCTGGACTACATAGTGAGTTTAGCCTGAACTATATAGCAAGACCTTGTCCCCCCCCCCCAAAAAAAAAAAAAGTAAACAAGAATAGGATTGCTGGGCTGCAGGTTCAGTTTACCAGGTTGGATCTTTAGCACAGCAGGAGGAGAGGAAGAGGAGAAAGAAGAGAAGATTTCTGAGCAAAAATCTGTGGGTTAGCCAGATAATGGATGGTCAAAGTTCGAGACTCAGCCAGAGCGTCTAGACGGAGATAAGGAAATGGTGCGGAGAGCAGAGCTACAGGAAAGGAGGCAGCAGATGAGGAGTGACAGGTGAGTAAGGCGGGTGGAGAAAGCAAGTCTGCGTCGCAGGACCTCCCCCAGGAAACAAGGGACAGGGCCCAGGACACCTGGCCACGCAGTGGAGGACCATTGCTCTGAGCTAGATTTTTTTTTTTCCTCTCCGAATGTCTTCAGGGCAGGTTTGGCTGGCTTGAGTTGTGGGGATCGAACCACAGCAACCTGAGCCTGACTGCTTTGTTGAAGCAGCCACTTAAAGAACTAAGCTAAGAGGCAGGCGCCCCATTGCTCTGAGCTGAAGGCAACATCTCTAGATGGGGAGGAACCAGGAAATGCCCAGAATAGTGATGGGAAAGACATGCCTCTGGAGCCTAACAGGAAACCCTCAACCTTTGAAATGAAGAAATCTTTAGAAGCACACACCAAGGTCCATATCAAAGTGGAAAGAAACCTCACCTTGGATTTCTCACCACCAAAACAAGATGCTCAGAGACTACAGAGATTTTTTTTTTATTTTTCCATTTCCCATATGCCTGACTGCACCAGTCCAGTCCTCTAGTCCTTGTGTCTCACCTCTTTTTTTTTTTAAGACAGGGTCTTGCTATGTAGCTCAGGCTGGCCCTGAACTCACTATGTAGTCCAGGCTTGTTTTGAACTCTCCACAATCCTCTGCCTCTGCCTCCCAAGTGCTGGGATTACAGGCCATTACCACCACGTTTGGCCTCCTCAGCTCTTTTTTCTTAACTTGCCTGGATGGGCTGGGGCTTTAGGGTTTTACTAGGACACCCCACCAATTATTCTAGCCTTTTTTTTTTTAATGTATTTGGTTGTTACAGGGTCTCACTATGCAGCTCAGACTTAGAGTGATCCTCCTGTTTTTCAGCCTCCCTGCTACACTGAGCAGCGCTGGGATTACAGGTGTGCACCACTATGCCTGGACTCTGTGGCCAGCTCAGCCTGCCCTGGGGGCAGGCCTGGGGTGACCGGTGGTGCAGGGGATTGAACCACGTTCCCTGTGCTTGCCTAAGCTTGCCTAAGCAGGCACTTTAGTCCACTGAGCTATCTCACCAGCCCCAATTCCTAGCCTTTTTGGGGAAAATGTCCATGTTCAAAGTTACCAAATTTAGCAAGTTACAACACAGGAAGCCAGGTGTGGTGGCACATGCCTGTATTCCCAGCACTTGGGAAGCTGAGGCAGGAGGATCGCCACAAATTCAAGGTTAGCCTGGGCTACACAGTGAGTTCAATGCCAGCCTGAACTATAGAGTGAGAGCCTGTCTCAAAAATATAAAAAGGAATAAAAGTAAAGTTAGAATATAAGAAAATGGAGGAGGGACTAGGGATGTAGCTCCGTGACAGAGCTCTTGCACAAGGGTTTGCTCTACAGACGTATGCACAGCACACACATATGCACATGAAGAGGCTGCCATGTGAAAGACGGTGCTTGACCTGCTCATCTGACCCCTCTTGGAGGCAGAAGGGACCCAAAACAGAAAAAGGAATCATTTGTGGGGATAAGTAATCCTCATGATGACCACAAGATGGCACCACCGTTCTGTGATCCAGATAAGGATGTGTGGCAGGGAGGCCACATACCCCTCAGGAGGGAGCCTCACTGGGACCTGTCAAACCCCCAGTCCCCCTAACCTCTCTGCTCTTTGATCTTCCCCATCAGACTTTGTGAACGTCCTCTGGGCAGGAACACAGCTGGAGAGCCCCGGGGCTCCCTCCTCACCAGGTCAGCTTCCAGCCTGTCTACACGGAGCACTCCTGGCCAGGTGACCCTGATGCAGGGGAACGTAACAGTCCACAGGGAACCATGAGGCCAATGAGCAGGGTGTGGACTCACCCGGATGATGCAGATTCTGCTATGGGCAGCATCCAAGGTGTTGTAGAAGGCCTGCACCACTTCCTGGAACTCCATGCTACTCTCTGCCAAGTTCTCCAGTCTTCCCAAGGGCTCCTTCAGCCTCTGCTCTGGCACTAACAGATGAGGAAAGAAGCAGCAGGGCCATGCCTGGGCACTAGCCCAGTAGCCACCATCCAGCCCACACCCCAGCCCAAGGCTCAGACTCACAGGTAGTGCCTGAAACCCCAAAGGGGAAGGCCAAACTTTGATCTGTTGGGCCAGCAAGAAGTGCATTTAAGTGACGGGCTGCACGGGCAGGCTGGGCCCCAAAGCCACGAAGAAGAATACTGTCATCATGCAGGGCAACACTCACACCATGGCACCGTTCCAGGGGAGCACACAGTTCTGCAGGCAGCTCACGGCCCTGAAGCCTCACTGTCTCTTGCTGGAGCTGTTCCTCCAAGGCAGCCTCTAGTGCCCTGTCCAACTCCTCCACATCCTGCTCAAAAGGCACATGTACCACCAGCTGGGGCCCATTACCAGAACTGCCACCCAGGGGCTCTTCTGCCTCCAACAGGGGCTGCTCCAAGAGAGAGAAGGCCAGGGCTCGCCTTAGTGTGGCAGCTTCCTTCTGCTCAGCCACTTGGTTCTGAGACTCCAGCGAGCGGTGGAGGGCCAGCTGCAGTGCAGCCTCTTCCTGCAACTGCTCGAGCTCAGGTGTATCACTGTTAGGTGCCACAGGCTCCTCCTCAGCTCCAAGTATGGGTGTTTTCTTCCCCAGCTCTGAAGTTTCTGCACCCTCTTGTTGCTCCTCAGAATTCTCCTCATGCAGCCCCGGGAGCTGCTGGTGCTCCGAATTAAGGCTCTCCAAGGTGGCAAGCATCTCTTGGACTTCCTCTAGGGACAGAGAAAGACCAGTGGGTCATGGAGCAAGCCCAGCCAGAGTAGCACTGAAAAACAGAATGAGTTAGATGAAAGATGAAATGAGTTTAGGGGCATAGAGGAAGCCTGGAAAGGGTCTCTAGACAAGTAAGAGTGCAAAGTGAGATGGAGGGTGAGATCAAGAAAGGACCACAGGACATTCTGGAGTCTCAGGGGAGCCATACCCAGGTTCACGTTCTCCTGGTCAGCACCTATACTCTCTGAGGACCACGGGGCATGACTGTGTGCAGAGAGGACCTGAAGATCCTCAGTGGGATCCACCTGTGGGGAGAGGATGTCGGGGTCATCAGCCTCTGGATAAGGGTTGAGGAGGCATCTGGGGCTGGAAGGCTGAGATGTACAAAAGGAGAGGGGTGGGCAAAACTCCACCTCTACCTCTTCAGGGTTTGTGTCCATGGTGGCACTGGCCAGATGCTCTGTCCCAAAGACACACTGGAACTGAGCCTCTAGGCCCCGAAGAAGTCGCTGTCCCTCTGTCCCCAGCAGGAATCTGGCACTGCCTGGGTGTCTCAGGCTCAGCCTGTGGCAGCTAATGCTGCCCAGCAGACTCTGTAGCAACTCCTGGGCCCCTTGGCATGGGGTCTGGGCTCCACAGAGCTACAGGAGAGTGGCAGAGGAACAGTTTGTAAGTTCAGAATATAGTGAAAGTGTGAGGCCCCTGTGGAAGAAGAGCCCAAAAAGAATTCTCAGTAGTGACTCACCCGAAAGCCTGTCACATCCATTCCTTCAAGTGGGAAGAGAGCAACATCCCCCAAGCTGGCAAGAAGATCCTCGTGATAAAGTTGCAGGAAGCGCATCGCCCCTGGCTCCATTGACAACACCATGTCCACCAGGCCCTCCTGCTCTACCAGCCCCACATTCCCTGGGCCTTCCAACCCAGCCTTCTCTGGAGAATTTGGGGTGATCTCCACTTGACTCCCCAGCCCTTCCTGCCCTGATGGGCTCATGGCAACTCCCAACATGCCCTCCTGCTCTAGCAGACCCAAGAGTCCTGTGTCCTCCATCTCCAGCAGCCCTACAGGCCCCTGGTTCACGAGCCCCTCTTGCTCCAGAGAATTCACGGTTCCCAAGTCAGCTAGCATGACCTGTCCTGAAGATCCCTTAGGACTTTTGCTCATCAAGGATCCCAATTGCTCTGCTGCCTCCCCAGAGTTGACAGTCATAGCCCCTGCACCCTTCGGGGCCCCTGCCAGCCCTCCATCCTCCAGGAGGGCATGGTCCACAGCTCCAGGTTCCATCATGGATGGGAGGTTCCCTCCAGCAGTGCCCTCAGTGAGCTCCTCGGGTTCCAGGACTTCATAGTGGGGGACCAGGGTCAGCTCTGAGCCTTGCAGACAGTGGTCCCGCTGCAACACCCGCTCAGCCACTTGGAGGAAGGAAGAGGACAGAAAGTCCATCAGGCTTCTGTGGGAGGGGGAGGGTCCCACTGGGTCTGTTCAGTTGACTCACCCTGCCAGTGCTGGAAGGAGACGACAGTGCCCAGCTGCCTAGGCAGGCTGCGAAGGCCCTCCAGGGCCCCACCACCACTGCGACGTTCGTTCTCCAAGTATAACTCCAGGAGCAGCAAGTCCACAGGTGGGCTGGCCCCTACCACACGCACTTCTCGAGCCTGGGGCACTCGGGCCACGGACACAGAGGCCCTGTCCAGACCCATATTCAGAGCCTGCTCCTCTAGGATCCGGAATTCTGTGGAAAATGTACAGGTAGGCTTTGGGCATTGTTCCTAATCAGCGCTTCAGCTCTGATCCCACCTCTTACCTGCTTCAGAAAGAGGCATGGGCAGCTGGACCAGGGTCCTATCAGGCCTAGGGCTGGCCAGGGCACGGCAGGGCCACACTGGGTGTCCCATGGCACACAACAGGGCCTGAACATGCTGCTCCAGATGCTGGGCTGTGGTGCCAGCTGGCACTCCCTGGAGGAGCAGACGTGTAGAGGCCCACGGTGGGGCTGGCCGCAGACGTAGGCAGGCACCTTGCAGCTGATGTTCTGCCTGGGCCAATACCCTCAAAGCATCTGTGAGCACAGGTGAGTTATGAGGGCTGTTGTGGCATCAAGGAACCCAGGCTGCCCCCTCTGCCCATCCTCTCACCTGCGGATTGTTGAAAGGTGAGGATGCCCCCATGGCCAAGTCTCTGCCAGCTCAACACAGGCCCTCCACCACAGCGTCGGCGGTTCTCAAAGTAAAGCGTGAGCAGCTCATCTGGCATGTCAAGGGGCAGCCCTTGGACCTCCACCGCCACCCTTGGCTCCTCCTCAGTCATCATTACCCTGAAATGGAACATCAGAGTAGGGAAGAGGCCTACTGCTCCACTTCCTCTAGGGCCGACTGGGTCTGTCCCCTGACCGGAGTACCTCACCTACTCCCTCCCAGAGCACTTGTCTGTGTCTCCTGGGTGCCACCCCATTGTGGGCACCCCCACATTCCACACTTACACTTTCCCTGCCACCTAGGCCTTCAGCAGGGACTAGGTGCCTGCCTTCATTGTTGTCTGGGATCGGACAGGAAAACAAAAGTGAAACTGACTTGAAGAAAGCAGGGAGGGAGGGGCCGGGCCTGAGGCCCTGGTTTCTGTGACCTAGACGCTTCCTCTCCAGCTGAAATCTCAATCTCAGCCCACCAGGAGGTGATACCCAGGCAGACCCCTCAGAGCCCTCCCACCAACCTAGTCACTGGCCCTCTAGTGCCTGCTCCAGCCCCTGTTTGGGCAGGTTGGACGGGAGTGCCCTCTGATTGTCCTCTACTTCTCAGGCCTTTTCATGTGGTCTGAAAACGGCCAACTACCTTTCCCACTAAATGAATCAAGGGGGCTTGAGTAACTGCTCCTCATGTAGGGTCTTCAGGCCTCTGTCAGCATGACCAACATCGGATTTCCAGGTCTGCCTTGGCCGAGGCTGGCCTTTGACTCCTTGCCAAGATGATAAGATAGGTATACTACTAATTTCTTTTACTTTATTGAAAAGTTCGTGTTAATATTGTTTGGACAATTAAATGCCTATATCTTGTACTCTGAGTAACTAACTTAAAGGTAACAATATTCAATGTATTAACAATTGTTACCTTCCTATTATTTTGAATTTTTTCTCTTAAAAGAAAGAAACAAAGAAGGTCACCAGGATACCAAGCCTCCTACATAAGTGCTGAGGGTAGGCAGCTTCAGCCCTGACCCAAAGACCTCCATCTCCCCAAGCCAGGTTTGGGTTAGAGGGTGGCTCCTCGTTCTCTCGGCTCCCTCCAGCCTCACTGCCACCTGCCTTGCCCATCTGCACTGTTGTCCTTGCCCTCATCGTGACCAATCACAGAAGTGCAGGCCCTGTGCTGACAGGCTTAGATCCAGTAATCCTCCTGGGTGGCACCCAGGAGAAATGGAGGAACAGTCAGAGTTCAGGGCACTGCTGGGCTCGCTCCCAGCCAGGCTTAAGCCAGTAGAGTCCACCTTAGCACACACTCCCCGCCCCAGCCTCGGAGCCCTTTGGCTTCCAGACTTTCCACGGTTGTGTTCACTGCTGCCCTCTGCCCCTGGTGTTTCTCCGCCCGGCCTGGACCCCAGCTCAGCCCACCCCCTCAGCCCTGCACACCTGGCACCTCCAATGCCGAAGAAGACAAATTCTCGTGCCCTTCACCTGATACTCCATGGAAGCATGATTCATGTTTTGTTTTGTTTTTTTCTGAATTGGACAAGGACTTGAAATCTAGTTTTGCTAAAAACTGTAACTCTTCACATGTGCCTCTAGATGCTCAATAGGTAACTAAAAGAACGAAGAGTGACTGTCATGTTATAGCTCTGGGTCAAATCCTTCTCAGTTCCCTAGGTATAGGTATGGTAGTCATATAGAGAATGTTTCTAAAAATTGGCCAAAAAGGTGCTTTGTTTTTGTTTGAAGTGCTGGGCATTGAACCCAGGACCTTTACAATGAGCTGCTTTCCCAGCCTTTTTTTCTTATCTTTTTGTTGGTTTTTCTTTTTCTGAGACAGGGTCTTGCTCTGGAATTCAGAATAGCCTTGAACTCAGTATGTAGGTCTTCAGATTTGTAGCAATTCTGCCAAATGCTGGGATTCCAGATATGCACCACCACACCCAGCATTTATTTTTTATTTTGAGCTGGCTTCTCACTAGGTTGCCTGGTCAGGATTCAAATTTGTGATTGCTGAGTCAGAACTCAAACTTGCGATTCTCTTGCCTCACTCTCCCAAAGTGAAAACAAGCCTTTTAGCCTTTCGCTTACCCAGCCTACCTTATCATCCTTCAAGATTAAGAACACCCACACCCTGAGGTCTCCACTGCCCTGAACTTGAATTCCAACAGAGCCTCCCACAGCTGAGACTGCCCAGTCATGAGGATTTCTTTCATGGAAATCAAATTGCCGAGTCCTAAGGTATCCTCTAGAGCTACTAAACGAAACTAAGATAATGATCAACCAGACCTAAGCCTACCACAAGCACCTCATAAAATTGGCACCTTTCTTCATCAGATTGCACCCCCTCTAGCCATTGTTAGGAGTCCTTTCTGTTGAATATTTTCTCTTGCCTTCCTATTAAAGTTTTGCCTATATATTAACCATATCTATTTTTTCTTTCAGCATGAGGAATTTGAACTCAGGACTTTGTGCTTGCCAGCCAGGTGCTTGTGCCACTGAGCTATCTCCCCGGCCTATCGCTGGTATTTCTTGCTTGATGAGTAACCTATCTTTTTAACTTTTCCATGCCACTCCCATGCATCTCCATGGTGAACAGAGCAGAATGAGCCTTTTAAAGTGGCACCAATACCAGTTCTAGTGGTGCACGCCTGTAACCACGCCTAGAATCTCAGCACTTAAGAGGCTGAGGCAGGAGGATCATTGCAAGTTCGAGACCAGCCTGGGCTACAAAGTGAGCTCAAGATCAGCCCGAACTGCGTAGCAAGATCTTGACTGAAAACAAAAACAGGGCCAGGGAGATGGCTCAGTGGAATAAGGGTTTCCCTGGCAAGCACAAGGGCCTGAGTTCAATCCCCGGTTCCACAAAAAATAAATAAATAAATAAATAAATAAACAAAAAGAACCAGAAACAACCTTGCACCAATGGGTGCTACAGGTCTCAGGGTTGATAATAGTAAAAACTAAAGTTCTTTTAGGGCCTGCCTGGCTCCACCAGCCCCAGTTCCCTCTCTGCCCCATGCACACATCCTGATGCTCAGTAGGCTCAGCATCTCACTCTTCATCCACAGCTATAAACTCAGGATACATGACCTGGCCTTCCCACACAGCCATTTGGCTTTCCTTTCCCCATTATCTTCTCACCTGCCCTTAGTGGAAGATTTAACATGAGGCTAAAAATCCCAAAGAGCCTCCCACTTACCCAGCCTTCCCACCACATCTTTTATGTTTTGTTTTGGTTTTGCTCTATTTTGAGAGGGTCTCGCTATACACTTCAGGTATAGGTATGGTAGTCAACTAACTGAACTCACTATGGCAGGCCAGGCTGGCCTCAAAACCAGGGCAACCCTCCTGCCTCAGCCTCCCAAGTGCTGGTATTACAGGCATGCACCACCACACCCAGCCAGCCCAGCCCTTTCTGCAGCTCTACACTCAACTTTGTATTTCTTTTCTTTTCTTTTTCTTTTTTTTTTTTTTTTGCGGAACCGGGGATTGAACTCAGATCCTTGCATTTGCTGGTCAAGCGC